ATGAAAAACCAGGAAGCAGAGGACATTAACCCACTTGGAATCCCGCCTCCAGTCCATGTAGAGGAGCAATTTGATGAAGTGGCGCCAAGGCCAGCAAACAGAATCCTTAGGGATTATGCTAGACCTGATCGCTTCAACTGTGAATCTAGTGTCAGGAAGCCCCCAGTGGCAGCCAACAACTTTGAAATCAGGACCAGCCTGATTCAGACAATTCAACAATCCTGTATCTTCACTGGTGATACAAGTGAAGACCCACATAGTCATTTAATTGATTTTCTAGAACTGGTAGAAACTGCTAAGTATAATGGAGTACCTCCTGAAGCTATCAAGTTAAGGCTGTTTCCTTTTTCTTTAAAAGGAGATGCCAAGACTTGGTTGCGAAGTTTGCCTCAAGGGCCCATTATGACATGGGACCAGATGACTCAGAAGTTTTTAAATAAATATTTTTCCCCTGCTAAAACAACAAAGTTAAGACAAGACATATCTAATTTCTTGCAGACTGACACTGAGTCAGTTTATCAAGTTTGGGAAAGATTAAAAGCAATGTTAAGAAAATACCCACACCATGACATTCCTGAACATATGCAATTATACATTTTTTATCATGGGCTAAAACCCTCTGCTAGAAATGTGATAGATGCAGCTGCAGGAGGTTCTGTAATGGGAAAAACCACAGAGGAAGCATTGCAACTGTTGAATGAAATTTCTGAGAACGCTATCCAATGGCCATCTGAGCATGTAATCATTAAAAAGGCTGCTACGCTAAATCAGGTTGATGCTTCAAATACACTAACGCAGCAGATTGTTTCTTTGGCACAAAAGTTTGAATCTTTTCAGGTGAGTACACAACAGTCAAATCAATTTGAGGCTTGTGACATGTGCGGAGGAAACCACCAGAACCATGAATGTCAAGCAACCAATCAAACGGATGAACAGGTTAATGTCATCGGTTACAAGCCATATCCTTTTGGGAGTCCAATGGCACAGAAGCATCTAGGATTTCAGTGGAGTAACCCAAATGGTGCAGAAAACTCTCAAAGCTTCCAGAAACAACAGGTACAGGGTCCGTCGGGATACCAGAGCCAAAATCGTGGGCAACCGAGTTACAGACCTTATCAGCAAGCGGGACCATATCAACAAACAGGGTCATACTAGCAGAGGCCCCAACAAGCTCATCCAAGCCTTGATGACCTTTTGTACAAGTATATCAAGGTCACTGATGAAAAGATGGAAAGCCAAAATACATCCCTCAAAAATCTGGAAATTCAATTAAGCCAATTGGCAGCTCTTGTGTCAGAAAAGATTCAGGGTCCCTTACCAAGCAATACAGAGAAAAATCCAAGGGAGCACCTTAAGGCCATCACTTTACGGTCAGGTAAAGAACTAGATGAACCTTATGCAGGCAAACAAGAAAAGAACCAGACAGAACAACAGGTAGACAAGGGTAAGAATTTTGAAAAACCATCTGAACCATCAAAGGAGAAAGAAATAAAGAATAAGGAAGAAAAAATTTCTGAAAAAATGGTTGCCCCACCTTTGACAATTCCTTTTCCACAAAAAATAAAACGAGAAAAGCTTGATGTCAATTTGCAAAGTTTTTGGAAATCTTAAAACAGATTCATATTAATATTCCTTTTACTGATGCTTTGTTGCAAATGCCTTCATATGCTAAATTTTTAAAGAAATTTTGTCAAGTAAAAGAAAATTGGAAGAAGTTTCTGTGGTAATGCTTACTGAAAAATGCAGTGCTATACTTCAAAATAAGCTACCACAAAAACTTGGTAATCCTGGTAGTTTTACCATTCCATGCACTTTGGGAGGTGTATATTTTGAAAAGGCACTTTGCGATTCTGGAGCTTCAATAAATTTGATGCCATTTTCTATCTTTAGAAAATTGGATCTTGGTGAAATGAAAGATATAGGTGTTTCTCTTCAGTTTGCAGATCAAAGTACCAAAAAACCTAAGGGAATAATTGAAAATGTGCTTGTAAGAGTAGATAAGTTTGTGTTCCCTGTAGATTTTATAGTGCTTGAAATGAAAGAATGTCCTGATGAACCGATAATTTTGGGTAGACCATTTCTTGCTACAGGAAGAGCAATCATAGATGTTCATCAAGGGTAACTAATCTTGAGAGTTGATGAAGAAAGAGTCATTTTTGATATGCAAAAGATACTAAGATTTTCAGGAGATGAGACATCATCTTCATGCTTTTCTATTGACATGATTAGTGATCTTGCAGATGAATTCAAAGATGATCAATTAATTTCAGACTCAATGGAAAGATGTTTGACCAAATCAGGCACCGCACAAGATGATGATCCCACAATTAGGAGAGAAGCTCAAATACTGGAAAAAGATTCTGAGGATAACGAGATGCAATCAGAAGAAGTTCAACCAAAAATTGAACTCAAAGTTCTTCCTTCTAATTTAAAATATGTTTATCTTGAGCAAGAATTATTTCTAGTAATTATTTCATCTTCCTTGAAGAAGAAAGACTAATTCAAGTCTTAAAAGCACACAAAGGAGCCTTAGGGTGGACTGTAGAGGATATCAAAGGGACTAGTCCAGCAATTTGTACGCATAGAATCCTCATGGAAGATAGCTACAAGCCAATAATCCAACCCCAAAGGAGATTGAATCATGCAATGCAGGAAGTGGTGAAAAAGGAGATTGTCAAGCTTCTAGCAGCAGGTATTATTTACCCAATTTCAGATAGCCCTTGGGTAAGTCCAGTTCAGGTAGTATCAAAGAAAGGAGGTATGACAGTTATAAAGAATGAAAATAATGAACTCATACCTACGAGGACTGTTACAGGATGGAGAGTCTGTATTGATTATAGACGTCTCAATGATGCTACCAGAAAAGATCATTTTCCTTTACCATTTATTGATCAAATGTTACAAAGAATTGCAGGATATGGTTTTTACTGTTTTCTCGATGGCTATTCAGGGTATAACCAAATACCAATTGCACCTGAAGATCAGGATAAGACAACTTTCACATGTTCTCATGGAACATATGCATACAGAAGAATGCCATTTGGTCGGTGCAATGCCCCTGCTACATTTCAGCGTTGCATGTCAGTAATTTTTTCTGACATGACTGAAAAATTTCTTGAAATTTTTATGGATGATTTCACACTCTTTGGCAAAACATTTGAAGATTGTCTTTACCACTTGACTTTAGTTCTTAAGAGATGTGAAGAGACAAACTTGATTCTGAATTGGGAAAAATGTCATTTTATGGTTACAGAGGGAATTGTTTTAGGACATAAAATCACTGCTAATGGGATAGAAGTTGATAAGGCTAAAATTAATCTTATAGCGGGATTAACCCCTCCCACAACTGTTAAAGGCATTAGAAGCTTTCTAGGTCATGCAGGTTTTTACAGACGGTTCATAAAGGATTTTTCAAAGATTTCAAAACCTCTGACTAACCTCTTGATGAAAGATGTTAAGTTTGATTTTTCAGGTGATTGTATGATAGCTTTTGACACCCTTAAGGAGAAATTATCAACTGCCCCTGTAGTTGTGTCCCCTGATTGGAGTCAACCTTTTGAGGTTATGTGTGATGCTAGTGATACGGCAGTGGGTGCTGTTTTAGGCCAAAGGAAGGATAAGATTTTTCGTCCCATTTACTATGCCAGTAGAACACTAAATGAGGCTCAATTGAATTATGCCACAACAGAAAAAGAGTTACTGGCGGTAGTATTTGCATTTGATAAATTTCGTTCTTATTTGATAGGAACAAAGGTGACTGTTTTTACTGACCATGCAGCTTTAAAATATCTCTTAGCAAAAAAAGATGCTCGACCTAGATTGTTAAGATGGATTTTATTTCTGCAAGAATTTGACCTTGAGATAAAAGATAAAAAAGGAATAGAGAATCAGGTAGCTGACCATTTGTCTAGATTAGAAGACCCTCCCGTTGAGTTCACCGAGATAAAAGAAGAGTTTCCTGATGAATATATTTTTTCAGTCAATTCTATTGTAACTCAACAACCCTGGTTCGCAGATATTGCTAACTACTTGGTTGGAAGATGGACACCCCAAGATCTCTCTTACCAGCAGAGAAAAAAGCTTATTTTTGATGCTAAGTATTACTTGTGGAATGAACCTTACTTGTTCAAAATTTGTGCAGATAATATCATCAGGAGGTGTGTACCTGAAGAAGAGATGACCAAAATTTTGTATCACTGCCATGATAGAGCAATTGGAGGTCATTATGCTGCAAACCGTACGGCATTTAAAGTATTGGAGGCCGGATTTTTCTGGCCAACACTCTTCAAGGATGCCCGAGCATATGTTGCACAATGTGACAGGTGTCAGAAAACAGGTAATATCACTAAGAGAGATGATATGCCATTACAGTCAATACAGGTATGTGAAATATTTGATGTTTGGGGAATAGATTTCATGGGTCCTTTTCCTTCTTCTCATCATTTGAATATATCCTTGTGGCTGTGGATTATGTATCAAGATGGGTTGAGGCCATCCTCACAAGGAAGAATGATGCTCATACAGTGTGTAATTTTCTTAGAAAAAATATTTTTACTAGATTTGGCACACCTCGAGTCATCATTAGTGATCAAGGGACTCATTTCATGAATAGGCAATTTTCTGCTTTGCTATCAAAATATGGTGTGACTCACAAAACTGGAACACCATATCATGCTCAAACACAGGGGCAAGTTGAAGTTTCCAACCACGAGTTAAAAAGAATTCTTGAAAAGACGGTTGGAATTTCAAGAAAAGACCGGTCTTTAAAATTAGATGATGCACTATGGGCATACCGAACGGCGTTCAAAACGCCAATTGGAACATCCCCATATAAATTAGTCTTTGGAAAGTCTTGCCATTTGCCAGTTGAACTAGAACACAAAGCTTTTTGGGCACTGAAAGCATTAAACTTTGAATTAACCTCTGCTGGTAAAAAGAGATTGTTTCAGGTTAATGAATTGGAAGAACTGAGGTTGGAAGCTTATGAAAATGCCAGAATATTCAAAGAAAAAACAAAAATATGGCATGACAATTTGATCCGACAAAAAAGTTTCAAAATTGGAAATCAAGTACTTCTTTATAATAGCAGGCTGAGGTTATTTCCAGGGAAATTAAAATCCAGGTGGACAGGTCCTTATAATGTTACAGATGTTACTCCATATGGGGCAATTGAAATTCAACAGATCAATGGAGGAGACAAATTTAAGGTAAATGGTCACAGGCTAAAGTTGTATTTTGGAGGCCATTTTGAGCAACAACCATCGGTAACCTTGATAGCCTAATACATTCCGATGTTAATAAGTCGAGCTGACGACATTAAACTCAGAACTATAATTTTCTTACCCGTAGACATTGAGGGTGAAGCAATGGAGCCTNACCTGTTATATCATTTTTTTTTTACTTCTTTTTTATTTTTCAATATAGCTTGTTGTTACATATTATTATTTTCTTATCATTGTATATTTTTGTGTAATAATATTATTATTATTCTTATTATTATTAGTAGTAGTACTTCTACAGTGTTATTCTTATTGATCACTATCATTCACTAGTACAACTTTTGTTTATAATTAATAATACTATACTATTTCAATTCACTGTTAGTATTACTACTAATGCTTACTTGTTAGTTTTATTGTTTTATATTTTTATTTTATTTTACTAGATTAATTACTAGTATTATTATCTACAATATTGTGGTATTTATTTTTCTTCACTAACTATTTATATTTGAAATTTACTTTAGTTTAGTATTAATTACTAGTACTATACTAGAAAGTAATGTTAATTTTTTTTTACTTTTAAAATTTTAAGTAGTTTATGACCCGCTCTTCTATAAAGGAATTGGCTAATTACGATCCTGAAATTGAAAGATATCTTCGATTGCGCAGGAAGGAAAAAACATCATCTTCTCAAGGAGCAACTTGTGAAGAAATGGAAAACCAGGAAGCAGAGGACATTAACCCACTTGGAATCCCACCTCCAGTCCATGTAGAGGAGCAATTTGATGAAGTGGCGCCAAGGCCAGCAAACAGAATCCTTAGGGATTATGCTAGACCTGATCGCTTCAACTGTGAATCTAGTGTCAGGAAGCCCCCAGTGGCAGCCAACAACTTTGAAATCAGGACCGGCCTGATTCAGACAATTCAACAATCCTGTATCTTCACTGGTGATACAAGTGAAGACCCACATAGTCATTTAATTGATTTTCTAGAACTGGTAGAAACTGCTAAGTATAATGGAGTACCTCCTGAAGCTATCAAGTTAAGGCTATTTCCTTTTTCTTTAAAAGGAGATGCCAAGACTTGGTTGCGAAGTTTGCCTCAAGGGTCCATTACGACATGGGACCAGATGACTCAGAAGTTTTTAAATAAATATTTTTCCCCTGCTAAAACAACAAAGTTAAGACAAGACATATCTAATTTCTTGCAGACTGACACTGAGTCAGTTTATCAAGCTTGGGAAAGATTAAAAGCAATGATAAGAAAATGCCCACACCATGACATTCCTGAACATATGCAATTATACATTTTTTATCATGGGCTAAAACCCTCTGCTAGAAATGTGATAGATGCAGCTGCAGGAGGTTCTGTAATGGGAAAAACCACAGAGGAAGCATTGCAATTGTTGAATGAAATTTCTGAGAACGCTATCCAATGGCCATCTGAGCGTGTAATCATTAAAAAGGCTGCTACGGTAAATCAGGTGATGCTTTAAATACACTAACGCAGCAGATTGTTTCTTTGGCACAAAAGTTTGAATCTTTTCAGGTGAGTACACAACAGTCAAATCAATTTGAGGCTTGTGACATGTGCGGAGGAAACCACCAGAACCATGAATGTCAAGCAACCAATCAAACAGATGAACAGGTTAATGTCATCGGTTACAAGCCATATCCTTTTGGGAGTCCAATGGCACAAAAGCATCCAGGATTTCAGTTGAGTAACCCAAATGGTGCAGAAAACTCTCAAAGCTTTCAGAAACAACAGGTACAAGGTCCGCCGGGATACCAGAGTCAAAAATCGTGGGCAACCGAGTTACAGACCTTATCAGCAAGCGGGACCATATCAACAAGCAGGGTCATACCAGCAGAGGCCCCAACAAGCTCATCCAAGTCTTGATGACCTTTTGTACAAGTATATTAAGGTCACTGATGAAAAGATGGAAAGCCAAAATTCATCCCTCAAAAATCTGGAAATTCAATTAAGCCAATTGGCAGTTCTTGTGTCAGAAAAGATTCAGGGTCCCTTACCAAGCAATACAGAGAAAAATCCAAGGGAGCACCTTAAGGCCATCACTTTACGGTCAGGTAAGGAACTAGATGAACCTTATGCAGGCAGACAAGAAAAGAACCAGACAGAACAACAGGTAGACAAGGGTAAGAATTTTGAAAAACCATCTGAACCATCAAAGGAGAAAGAAATAAAGAATAAGGAAGAAAAAATTTCTGAAAAAATGGTTGCCCCACCTGTGACAATTCCTTTTCCACAAAAAATGAAA